AAAAACAATTACTTTCTTTTTAAAGGTGTCTACAGTGTTTATGAAACYATTTTCTGATTTTCAGTAATAAAAAGCAGTTTAGTTATATTAAAGCTTTTAGGGAAAAAGAATGTAATCTATTGGCATTTATTGTTTTTCCCTGCAAGCATTTCAGACTATGTGGATGATTTATTTKTCATTTTTCAGCAAAAATAAAAAGTATTGCTGCTTAGATACCTTCACAATCCTTAGGCAGAGCATGGGCTAGCTCTCCCATTAGTAAAGTGGGCAAACCAAACTACCATGGATCCCAGGACTGAGCAAGCTCCTGGAAACCTCTGTGTTTATTTTGATCAAAGCCATGTGTGGCACATCTGATGGGAACCCAGATGGAACTCATTTGGGTAGATTAGAAAATAGTGCTACAGTAAACCATCATCTCCAAGTTACAGCAAAATAACGGGGAGGATCAGCTGCAGCAGAGTTTGGCAGGGATGCCTTGCCAGTCACTTGGGTCCTGTTTGGCTCAGCAGGGACACAGCTGTGCCCAAGCTCTTTGGCCACTGCACTTAGGTCTGGCAAGTGGCCCAGATGTCCTTCTGTCAGCTTACAGCATTGGCTTTAGGGGATCCTTGTTCTCTTGATCCTCCTGTCTCCTGGTTGTGACCCACCCACAGTGGGACAGCAATGCTCTGCAGCAGCTCAGGGCACTGCTGGGACGTGTCACAGCCCAGCCAAGGAAGGCACAGGGGGCCAGGGTGTGGCTGTGCCAGCAGAGGGGTGGGAGGTCACTGGAGCTCACTCATTTTCCCGCTATCACCATCAGAGGGACAAAGCCTCACGCCGAGGAGAAGCTCCATGTGAGGGCATTGGCAGCACAGTGCGGTGTGGCACATCCCTGCCATTTCTTTCTCTTCCTTTGTCTTCCCAAAGGTCCCAGGCAACAGCTGCTCCTTATTCCCAGGTCATACTTTTCCCACAGATTGACTGGAAATTAATTCTGGCCTGTTCTCTTCCTCCACTCCTGCTCTGGAAGCTGATCCTGATTCAGCTCCTGTTCCAGAGGACAGCCCTGGTGTCTGAAGGGTCAGTGCTGCAGTGAGATGCTGTAAGGCTGAGGAGACAACTGRCAAGACACCCCGAGGAGAGGTAGAATGAAACTGGGAGAGCAGGATTCACCCATTCAAAGAACCTGGATGTTTCCATCACTGCAGACAGTGCTACTCCTTAGATCCACAAGGGAAAGTTAGGGAATGGAGATAACCCGTGTGTGGCAGCAAAAGCTCTTCACAGGTAAGATATAAAATAATAATCACAGGAGTTGATAATAAGAAATAGATAAAGAGGTCACAGAGTGTGACAGAATGTCTTCTGCAGGTACTGTAGTGTGCTGGACACAGTGAGGGCTCTCTGCTACTTGTGCATTTTGTAAAAATGCCCTGTATTTTTACCATTTTGTGGAATGAAAATTTTATGTGCTATTAAATGTTAYTGGCAAATGGTTGTGAGCCATACCAGCAACTAAAACACACCTCATCTTTCTCTGTTTTGGTTCTTTTGCTGTTACTTACTAACATCAGAGATTTTGCTATAAACGTTCCTTTTGTCTACAGAAAAATGTTGACTCTGCCACTTCTTCCATCTGTATTTATGCCAAACAGTGCATTTGGTAAAGGAAGGGAAAGTGGTCCAGTTCTCTGCTTGACAGACTAAAGGGAAATGCTTTTAACAGTTATTTAAAAAAAAAAAAATCGTAAAACACAGTTTATAAATCAAAACTCCAGAGGGAGATCTTTATCAAAGCCCTTTACTGACRCAGACATGTCACTCTTAAGCATGTCCAGAACACTGAAATAGCCTTTATTAATTCCCATTTCCCCACGTGTGGCACACACTGCTCCGCCCAAGGGGCACAAGAAATAGGGCCATGAAAGGGTGAAGCTCTTCCATGGACAGTTCTGCTGGGTGTTTGGATACAAAGCTGCGGAGCTCTCCCTGCCACTCCTGACCCTGGGGCCAGCACGGGCTGCAGAAGGYTCATCCTGCAGGGAGCGGTGCAAGGGCACCRCGGGAGCAGCGGGGAGGGACYCTGTCCCCACTGCRGGGTGCAGGAGCTGCCTCMGTCTGGGGGCTCAAACACTCCAGGGCAGGTTATTCAGGGACAGCATGGACAGCTGCCCTGGGAGCAGCCTGGGACTGGGAATGTMTCCATCCAGGAGTGCCTCAGGGAGCTCCTGCTGGCACACTGGCAATAAGGAATGCCATCCAGCTGCCCTGGAGTGCTCCTGTCTGCACACTGGAACTGGGAATGCCATCCAGCTGCCTACTCCCTGCACGCTGGGAATAGGGAATGCCATCCAGCTGC